AAAAATGGTCTAAATAGCTCTTATTAACCTGTTTGAACATTAGTCACTTGAAATAAGCAATAACACAAATAAGTATATAAGACATGAAAGTAAGATAGATGAATAGACTAAAATACCCTAACTTATGTGCTAAAATGCGTCACATTTGAGCACTCATCAACCACTTGTACAATTGGCTAGAAGCCCATCAATTAAATCTGTATCTTGTAGAGTTTGGAATATACAAAAAAAATAGATTATCATGAGATTACATTATATAAACTACGTACTATCATTCTGCTAATGTAATTTTTATCTAACTACATGCATTAAGCTTTTAATCCTAAGAAATTTAATGAACTTAAATTTTATTTTTTCGTCCAGTATATACACATATTATTGATTATATATAATAAATATACCCAAAAAATAAAAAATCTTAAACCATGTTTGAATTTGCAAATAACTCTCTTGAAGTATATTCTCTATATAATACCTCCTGAATTATCACATTTTGTTACAAAATGCCCTAATGCCTAGATTATATTTCATTAAATGACTATAATGCAATTTCTTATTGAATTATACTTAATATATTTTTCTTATTGAAATAAATTATGAAAAAAAATTATACTAATTTGATGATATATTCTCCATTAAATTTGCATAAATTTACCTTTAATTTTGAAATTATTTGTTTAAATAAAAATCTTAAGTATAATTTTTTTTAAAAAAATTAATTAATTTTTTATTTTTTCATGAATATATTGCATGAAAAAGAAAGCATTTTTTTTATTTAAGTAATTTATTAATTTTTCATTAATATATTGTATGAAAAAAGGTTTTTTCTAAGATAAAGAAGTTTAAATCGAGTACAATAATATATATTATAAATAGTTAAGTTTTAATAATAAGTTAATCATTTTAGAAAATGGTAGTTACAAATCTATTTTTTATGATAAATTGGTATTAATAATTAAATTAAGGAAAATAACATGATTAATACTTAGGTAAAAGAAAAGATAATAAAAATAATTTAATAAGAAATGACAAAAAAAAAATAGTCTTTTGTGATTGGGTTATTCTTAATTGCAACAAATCAATAGTTTAGGGGGCAATTTGTAGTTTAAGGGAATTTTTTGCAACAGGGCAATACTTCAAAGTGGTTTTTTTGTACTTTACCTTGTATTATTCTACTATTTTTATATAATAAAAAAATTTAGAGTGAGTCTGGACATAACGGTAAGGTAGCTCTATAATAAAGGTAATAATTTGAAATAGGAAATATCTTTGGATGTGAAAGTAGGGCTGTGATTAGACCATTCTAGATGCCACAATAATGGTGGTCTCATGCAGGCCCTTTTATTTATATCACAAATTTATTTATTTGAAATTCTTTCGTAAATATATATATATATTTTAATTCAACACTAAAAGAATCTAAGATGCATGTAAGTTTACCTTTGGTAAGACAATATTTAATTTTTCAAAATCACTTATGTGCATGTATTGTTTACAATCATATGCTCCAACGCATAGCTTAAGCGAGAGGGTTTAATTTTAATATTTAAATCTCTTAATTCGGCCCCTTATGTGGGATCTTTATTTGGTCCAACACATGTTTTAATTTTATTATTATTATTATTATTTTTTCTTAGTTGGAATTCATACACACGTGTCTCTTTTGAGACTTGAACCCCTAACCTCCTTTTGAGAAGTAAGAGGCCGATACCGCTAGACCACTGGAGCGAGAGCGAATTCGAGAGCGGGAGTGTAAGAGCGGCATAATTAAGTCATAAGCAGTGAGAATTTGAGTAAAAGTGTGTGAGAAACGTGATAGCGAAAGTATGCTCAAAACGTGAAAGCGACACCTATTTAGAATGATTATGTGAGTTGCTCTGAAGCCCTGTCAGGATAGCTAAATTTAAAATTGATATAATAAGCTCAATTCACAACGAATTCAACCAATATGTGAATACCAAGTGTTTTTAAACTGCCTAACATCTTCATCATATACATCAAATCATAAGGAAATAGAAAAAAATCATAAACTTCTACTTAGACATCTTGCATATATCACTGTTCTCTTCGTGCAAACCGAAAATAGAATAAAAATTAACAACAATATTGTTATTCAATTTATTAAGCATTGGGTTTTGTCAGTGAAGCCAAAACTTGGTGTCATCATTATGCTCATAATCAAGCTAATAAATTGAATTGAAGAGAATGGAGAGCAATGGGCTATTTAAAACTATTAAAGAAATGATAGCTACCAAAAAAAAAAAAAAAAACTAGTGAATTGAAGTCGTATAGGATAATATGTCCAAGAAATGAATTGTGATAATAACCAAAAAAAAAAAAAAAAAATATGATGGAATTGGATTAAATTCATCATTATAAACAATATTAAGGAGATGCTCATATATAAAACTACATATTCTATAAATAGCATCTTGTTGTATAATACCAGGGTCTCATTAACCAAGAACAAATATAAGAGATTGTAATAAAACATCTCATAGTTTAGGTTACCGTGGTTTCTAAAACTCATAAACTCATATCATAATTCAGATGTTATAAAAGCATGCATAAAGAAAGAACAAATATATGAGAAAATTTGAAATTACGGCTCCGTTTGAAATTACGGCTCCGTTTATTTGGACGTAAAATATTTTATTTATTTTTTGCTGTTTGGTTGTTATTTTACGAAGAAAAAAAATATTAAAATTTAACAAAAATAATTTAACCATCAATTTTCGGCAAGTTATTTTACATGCCCGCCCGATGGACTCGACTATAATCTCGACGTAGACTTTTGCCAAACATCGACAAAGTAAAAATAAAATAATATTTTACTTGAAAAAGAAAAATATTTTCAAAAAAAAATAATTTACTTGGAAACAAACCAAGCCTAAATTCATATACAACTTCACGATTTGAATCTAACGAATCTAATTTGAGTTCCAAGAATGTTAAAAAAACAACAAATATCTGATGAAATTGGTAACTATCGTTACCATTGAATGTCTAACGAGCCAACAATTAAAATTTTAAAAAATAAAAATAAAATCTGATTGTAGCATCAGATCGAAGAAAAGTAGAGAATAAAAAACACTAAAATAAAATAAAATAAAATTCCAATATCAGAAGAGAATCAAATCAAAGATACAAAAAATCTGAGAAGAGGTGTATGTGGAGATTGCACCTTCAGAGTTAGGATCCCAGTTCAATAATCTGAGATCGCGAACTTCTTTCACGAACTTTGGTAAAAGGGTAAGATGAGTACTCTTCCACTGAAAGAAATGGTAGAGAGAGAGAAGAAAAGAAGCTTTCAGATGGTCACATGAGCTTCGCTTCTTGAGTGCCTAATTTTATTCATTTTTGCAAAAAAAAACTTTGCAGCAAAGACACCAAGTGAAGTATACTCTTTATTTAATTATCTATGAAAGCCCACAAAACACCTTTTCTTATTTATATTTAATAACATCTGTTCTTACTTTACCTTTCATCTATATTGTTTTGTATGTAGTATTCTTACATTATTAATATATATAAACTAATTAACATTAGAGGCTCACAACAAATTCAATAATCGCTATCCAATGCTTTCTACCTTCTTGTCTTAATATCTTACTCACCACTTGAAGGATGATAACCTGTAGGAATCACACACAAATCGCTTTTCCTGTTAACTGCTACACCAAAGACCTTAGTCATGTCTAGATCTTCTGGCTTCTCTCCCTCAGGAAGTTTCCAGTCAAAGTGATATAATAAATTTGCAAGTGGAAGCTCAACGTTAGCTATCCCGAACGACATGCCACTACATATTCTTCTCCCAGCACCAAATGGTAGATATTGAAAATGAGTCACCTTGTAATCAATTGAACTATCAAGGAATCTCTCTAGAACAAAACTCTCTGAATAAGTCCAATTTTCCGGATCTCTACCAATTGCCCACACATTGACAAAAACTTGGGTTTTCGCAGGTATCTTATATCCATTGATTTCACATCTCTCTCTGCTCTCTCTCGGAACCAATAGAGGGCGAGGAGGGTGTAATCTCAGAGTTTTTTTGATAACTAACTTTAAATAACTCAATTCATGAGATTGTCTTCATTAAGAATATTTCCTTTTTAACATAAAATATTTCTCACCTCAGCCTGTGCCTTCTCCATAACTCTTAGGATTTTCAACAATTCTGATATTGCCCAGATTACAGTTGTAGATGATGTATCAATTCCACCAGCGAATATGTCTTGCAAGAGCATTGAAATTGAGTTAAAAGAGTAGAGAATATAGTACAATATCATGACTTATTATGCTCTCTAGAGAGCTTGCCCTTAAAACTTTGGGCATTAGCCACTTAATTGTGTGTTGGACCAGCATTACATATTAAACACAATGTGGATGTTGGTGTTTGAGATCAAATGTTTAAAACTGAATTTTAGTATGTAAAAAGGGGTTTGGACTTTGGCTCAGCTGGAGGTAAAAGTAATTTGTGGAACTTAATTCATTGATGATAATACTAAAAGAAGCATAAAGTAAATGTACTAACCATGATAACTGACTTGGCGTGTGTCATGGTTAAGGGGATCTCAAGGTTACCCTCCTCCTGATATTTTAGAAGAACATCTACCAGGTTTTCATGATCGGCTTCACCATTACTGGTCCGTGTTACCACTTTTTTAGCTTATGTTCATCAATAATGTTAGTAAATATCCCCTCAACTTTTCGATGAATCTTCTCAACTCTAGGCCTTAGCCCACTTATCAGAGCAACCATTTTAACCGAAGGAAAGAGGTCAGCAACATTGAAACCTCCTGCTACCTCTGCGACTTCCTTGATAAGTGATATAAATTCTTCTTGCCCATGGAATTTCTTACCAACGGCTACCTTAGCAACGATGCTGTATATCATCGAGAAAATCTTTTCAGTGAGATTAATCAAAGATCCTGTATGCGTCAAATAGATTTGATCAAATTTGAGGTCTCTTCTTCCCTGTATGCGTCAAATAGATTTGATCAAAGCTTTCGAAGTTGTCTCCAGTGATCCCCATAAGGTGAGAAGGCAATGTCATTCCCAAATATGATATTTGGAGCAAGAATAAAAGGCCTACTAGCAAAGACGATGTCATGTGTTTTCATGACCTCTTTGGCATATTCTGCTGAAGAAATGACAATAATAGAAAGTTGTCCGAGTTGCAGTTGCATCAGAGGTCCATGTTTCATGGCTAAATCTCTTAGGCGGTGATGGGGTAGAGATCCAACAAATTGGTGAATATTCCCTATAAGAGGTAGCTTCCATGGCCCAGGAGGCAGTTTCTGAGATGAACTCATCATGGTTTTGAATAGCATGAACAGAAAGAGAAGGAATGTGAAAATCATTAGGAAGGAGAGGAATGGGAACTCCATCATCAATTGTAGTGCTGCCGTTGAGAATTCACTTGTATCAGTTGCTTTTCATCCAGATTTAAGCTTGCTGTGAAGCCTTGAAGTTCTGCAAGATCCTCTCAGCATTTTTCAGTTTCTTTTCTAGGTTAATTGTGTGCATGGTTTCTTTGTTTTATGATCGAATAAAGATGCTAAGTAGATGCCACATTTTTTAATATGTAAATGTGAGTTGCAGATGTTTTTGACATATCCACCTTCAAATAAGATAGATACACCTTATATTTATATTTATATTTCATATCCACTCGCTTCTACAATAAGATAGATGAACCTTCTTAACATACTGTGATATATATTAATGGGGCAAAAGCTGATTTAGTAGCTTGACAAATAATCATACAGTTTGGATAACATAAAATATAAAGCTTTGAATCTTATTTGAATTCGGATTTAATCTTTGTTGTCAATTTGAACTGAAACCTCATTTCATCAAATAAAAAGCTCCAAATCAGTCTAGAACATGACAAAAATGTATCTTATTAATACAATTGTCTGGCTTGGCCGGGACAGCTCAATCATATAATGTATTAATTAGGCTTTGTTTATTGTATTAATACAACAATTATATGCATTCTATAAAAATAATCTACTGTAAAAATAAAAAAAATAAAACCTTCTGTAAAAAATATTAAATTCTATCCCAACAACATACTGAAAGTATATTCAAGCATATCATTCATACAAACTGATTAATTTTATGTTTTATTTTCAGTTCCCAAAACCCTTTACAGAACGAATTAACACGTCTATTGTATAAAGTTCAAGGCCACTATAATTCATGAAGGTAACAATTTTTGCAGGCAAAATAAAACTAGGTATTTGTAAATATGAAGATGCAAGAAAATGTTGTTCTATATTAGGAAAAGATTTTCTTATACTCCAAACAACGTGATTTCCTTTCCTTTTCTCACTTCTATTTCTAGAAACTTACACTCCCCTAATCTCTCACATTTTGCCCCATGCTGAAGGTTGATGGGCCTTCCTCCGTTATGGGGTGGTCCGCTTGCACCAAACAGGCCCAAATGGAGGCCTGCTTTCACTATTTTTGACTAAGTACAATCTGGGCCTGAAAAATGGATCTTTCGGATGATGTATAGCCCAGTCGATCGGGTCTGTTGGGCTGCACCTGGCCCTGCCCAGACCTATTTGCATTTCTCAACTCTTCAAAATACAAATCTTTAAGCAATGAATTCTGGGAATTCAATTAAGACTGAAATTCATAATCTCAGACGCTCTCCTAATTCTTTTCCATTTATTAAATTTCTTCTCCATTTTGGCTTTAATTTTATAGAATGAATTTGATGAATTTTATTAAAATAACAACAAATAAATTATCTAACTCTGAGGAAGATTGAATCCTATGTGGCAGACAAGGTTTTTTAGGTTTCCAACATCACCTATCAGAAGAGCTAATTTGGCAAGACTTGCCTAACATTTTTTTTTTTTTTTTAATTAGGACAAGACTTTCCTAACTTTAATAAATTCAGTCACCCTCTCTAATTTCTTTATTTATCACTTTCCAGATTTTGTAATTATAGACTATTTGTGTATTTATGATTGAACCACATCAACGATCAGTAGGGATAACCTACTCACAGGTCAGTAGGCAAGTGTTATCATTTTAATTATCAAATCAAAGATGGTACCATCTCTGATTTGGTAAGTGATTCCATTGTCTCTGATTTAGTAAGTAAAAATGATGTGTTCATTTCTTATTGGCCGATTAGCTAGGGATGTTGTACATTGAACTTGTTAAGTTCTTCGTTTTTATTTATTTATTTAAATTTTTTTTTTATTTTGGCACGACCTGGGTAAGTCAATCCTGCCATAAACAATGAAGTTATGTATCTCTTCTCCTTTTAAAGTGAAAGGTATAGAGTTGAGATATCCAAAAAGAAAAAATTGTGAACTACTAATGTCATCATATTAATACAATTGTCTGGCTTGGCTACCTGATAATTAAGTATCCCCTATAAAATACATAACTATTTAATATCTTTGCGCCTAACTCTCTTGTCATGTTTTCATAGTGTTTCCGATTATGAATTAGAATTTCTTCTATTTTTATGAAGGACTGAGCATTCTATGAAGAATTTATTTATTTATTTATTTTTTTAAAAAAAAAAGGAACAAAAAAAAAAAAAAAAAAACATCAAGAAGCTAAACCCTAAGGATATGTGCACAAGGAGGCTATGAGGAGTGATGCTACTGGCATATAAGGACAACTCTTCCTTCGATTTGCTTCTTAACTCATCCTAATTCTCATTTATAAATTCAGGGAGCTTTTGGAATTTACAAAAGGTTTCATGGGGTATGTGATATTATGTGACTGTCCAAATGTGGTGGAAATGAAAAAATTATAAGGTTACGTTCGACATTATGGAATTAGAACTTTGGAATTGAGGTTGGTGGAACTGAAAAAAAGTTTGGTTCAAAGTCACAATAAATTGAACTAAAATTTTCTCCAATTACTCCATACAATTCAAAGGCTCCAATTCAATGCAACCGAATATAACTTATTATGTATATTTCGTTGGATGTTTATATTGATTATTATGACGTTGGAAAAAGTAGCCTGATAGGCAAATTGATCACAAAATTCACCTACTTCCTTTTTACCTATTAGTCTCTGTTGTTTTAACTGAGACTGTAACTTCAGATCATTATAGAGAGCTAAATGTTTCAAATGTGGACGGATAGGCCACTATGCCAAGAAGTGCAGAACTAAGGAGAAACTTAACAGTCTTCCAATCAGTGAAGAGTTAAAACTCTAATTAAGTAAATTACTGCTTAATACTAGTTATTCTGAAAATGGATCTTCTGATTCCGAAGAACTCACGGAATTGCAATCATCATCTTCCTCTGAAGAAAAAAAGAGCAATCCAGAATGTTCTTGTCATCAGAAGAATGACTATTACAAGGCTATTGTTGAAATGAATGGGCTCAGTTTAAATGTTCTAACTGCCCATCAACAATCCTTGTTGGATCTTATAGATCAAGTTCAAGATCCTCAGATTAAAATGAAGATCTTTGAAATAGATTATGCTATCGCACAACCTCAAGAAGATAATGACAACCCAGACTTTATAAGATCTGAGAATCATTATAGTATAAAAGAAGTTCTAAACAGATTAGAACATCAAAGCCAGAACTCTCATCCTGCTAATCTTCCCAATTTAAGGATGGAGGTTAATAATTTAAAAGCTGAAATCCGCCAATTAAAGATCCATCAAACCAATATGGATTTAGAAATTAAGCTTTTAAAAGACAAGGCAAATCATGATACAGAATCTTCTTCACAGATTGAAGTGCCTAAAGATAAAGATAAAGAATATCTTAATCTTTTGAACCAAGTCACTTACCAAAAATGGTATATATCCATTAATTTGGTAATCAATCAGGAATATACTATCAATAATACTGTTGCTTTTGTTGATAGTGGTGCAGACATGAACTGTATTCAAGAAGGATTGGTCCCTACTCAATATTTTGAGAAAACCACTCAAGGTCTTACCAGTGCTAGTGGTGGTAAGATGCAGATTAAGTATAAGCTTAATCACGTTTTTATCTGTAAACAAGGTATTTGTTTACCGTCTACCATTTTACTTATTAAAAACATAGCACAACGGGTTATTTTGGGCACTCCTTTTTCAGCCTTGATTATGCCAATTGAGAAAATTGATTCTTATGGAATATGGTCAACTTTACAGGGTCAGTCAATCACTTTTGAATTTTTGACCAAACCCGTGAATAAGCCTATCAATGCTCTTAAAGATAGCATTATCTTTGAGGAAAAACAACTGAATTTTTGCAAAAGGAAGTCTCTTCCTTAGCAATCAATCAAAGATTGGTACATCCCACTGAGCAGCAGAAAATTGAGTGAATACGACAAAGTTTTCTAAAGGATATTTGCAGTGATGTTCCTAATGCTTTTTGGGACAGAAAGAAGTATATCGTTTCTTTGCCTTATGAAAAAGGATTTACCGATCTAATGATCCCTTCCAAAGCTAGTCCCAGCCATATGAAGGCTGACTATTTGGAATTGTGCAAAACCGAAATTAGCTCTTTAATAGAAAAGAAGCTAGTTACAGCAAGTTACTCCCCATGGAGTTGTAGAGCTTTTTATGTCAATAAAAACTCTTAAAAAGAAAGAGGAGTTCCTCAATTGGTTATTGATTATCATCCCCTCAACCTTGCTTTGAGCTAGATTCGATATCCAATTCCAAACATTAAAGATCTGTTAGATAGATTACAATCTGCTGTAATATTTTCTAAATTTGATCTTAAATCAGGATATTACCAGGTACAGATTGCAGAAAAGGACAGATATAAAACTGTTTTTTATGTACCCTTTAGACAGTATGAATGGACAGTAATGCCCTTTGGGTTAAAAAATGCTCCTTCAGAATTTCAACATATTTTGAATGACATATTTAATCCTTATACTGAATTTTCTATTGTTTATATTGATGATATTTTAATATTTTCAAAATCAATAAAACAACATTATAAACATTTGAAAATCTTCAAAGATGTTATTTACAGAAGTGGTTTAGTAGTTTCTACTCCTAAACTAAGAATTTTCCTCACCCAAGTAAGATTTCTTGGTCATGAAATTTGTGATGGGAAAATCAAGCCAATTGATAGAAGTATTGAGTTTGCCTCTAAATTCCCTGATGAAATTAAAGACAAAACTCAATTGCAAAGATTTCTTGGTAGTTTGAAATATATTCGTAACCATTACAAGAATCTTGCACAGGATATAACAATTTTATATACACGGCTCAAGAAGTCACCTTCCCCTTGGACTGAAGAACATACGAGAGCCCTCCAGAAGATTAAACTTCGTGCTAAACAAATTCCTTGCTTAGCCCTAGCAAATTCTTCAT